TTGATGGACTTTTATTTTATTCATTTATTTATATGTGATGCTGAGAAGTGGACCCAGTGCCTCACACATGTGAGGTAAGTGCCCTACCACTGAGCCACAACCTCAGCCTGGGAGAATATTTCCTTGAAGTGTGTGTGTGTGTGTGTGTGTGTGTTTTAATGTCATTAACATTCATGCACCTTCACCTTTGACCTCAATATCCTATTTCTAATTGGTTACTTTCTTCCTCTCTATCCTCCCTTTTCTTCATTCTTCTGTGGTAAAATGCCTGGAATTTCCACATTTTCTAGATTAAAAGGAACCTCTGAACTATAGCTTCTTATCTGTTGTGCTAAAAGCAGTAGAGTCACACAGCTGGACATTTGTTTTTGCCTTTTATGACAGTGTAGAAATGGGGAAAGACAAGTTATGGAGGAAGTCATTCTGTGTCTTGTCTCTACTCGTCTAGCTATGTCACAGGGTTGAGAGGGTGGGATCCCTGCTCCCCGTAGATCCTCCTCAGACCTGCTCCACATACCTCCTCCCCAGCCACATTCAACTTCATGATGAACATCTAGAGGTGAGGTGAACAGCCGTAGAGAAAATCAGTTAAACTGGAAGATGGTTCTTTGAAAAGATCAATAAGTGTGGTTTTTAAATAAATAAATAAATAAGTGTGGTTTTTACCTAGATTCATCAATTTAAAAAGTGCCTTATGAGGAATGAAAAAAGGGATTCAAATATTTAAAAATTGATAAGGAGATGGAAATGCTAATTACCCTTTGATCTTTGTACATTGTATACTTGTATCAAATTATCACACTGTTCCTTGTAATTGTGTATAATAATTACCACGTTAATTAAAAAGAAAATTTTAAATAAGGGTATTTCTACATGCCTCAGACTTTGTACATTTATAATGCTTTCTTTCTTGCTTATGAAAGTGGTTATTGCCAAGTGAAGTAGCGCATGCCTGTGATCCCAGCAGCTCAGGAGGCTGAGGCAGGGGGGTTGTGAGTTCAAAGCCAGCCTTAGCAACTTAGCAAGGCACTAAACAACTCGGTAAAACCCTGTCTCTAAGTAAAATACAAAAAAGGACTGGGATGTGACTCAGTGGCTAAGTGCCCCTGAGTTCAATAAGGAAGGGAAAGAAAGAAAAGAAAGAGGAGGGCTGGGGATATAGCTCAGTTGGTAGAGTGCTTGCCTTACATGTCCTGGGTTCAATCCCCAGCACCACACACACAAAAAGAAAGAAAGTGGTTATTATTGATAACTCCTGCTGTTTTGGTTTTTGTTTTGGTTTGGTTTTTGGTACTGGGGATTGAGCCCAGGGGCACTTAAACACTGAGCCACATCACCAGCCCTCTTTTGTATTTTATTTAGAGCAGGGTCTCACTGAGTTGCTTAGCACCTTTCTAAGTTGCTGAGGCTGGCTTTGAATTCCCAATTCTCCTGCCTCAGCCTCCTGAGCTGCTGGGATTATAGGTGTGTGCCACCTCAACTGGCAACTCCTGCTGTCTTGACAATCAATATGAGTAATACTCTGTTTTCCTCCTAACATTTGCTATCACATCAACAGTAGTGTGAATGTCTTTACCACAAGTAATTAGGTTCCTTAATCAAATTCAAGGTTTTTTCTTATTTTGTAATCTCACAGGGTCATCCGCCACTTGTGAAAGCTCTGTCCTGCCTATATGAAAAGTTTTATCAAAAAGAAATCAATCCAAATAAAGAAATCCTTGTGACAGTAGGAGCATATGGGTCTCTTTTTAATGCCATTCAAGGGTTAATTGATGAAGGAGATGAAGTAAGTATATCAACATTGTAATACTGTATTAATCATTATCTTTTGTCCCACCTTTGAATCTTTTACTTACTCTGCATTCTCTTCTATTTTAAATTACTTTTAAAGTCTAATGCACACATAGTGAAGTTCACGTTATCCTGGATGTGGAGCTGGATAAATTTCCCCATAACTACAACCTAGAGAAAGATAACCTGCATTCTCAGCAGCCCAGAAACTTCTTCCTGCCCCTTCTTAGTCTGTATTCTCCTGGAGAATCTTCTATCACAACAGGTTCACTCTGGCTCCTCTTTTATTTAGCATAAATAGAATTATACAGCATGTACTCCAGTCTGTCTTCTCTTGTTTATAGTTATATCTGAGAGATTCATCCATTTTATTGCTTTAGTTTTTTTTTTTTTTTCTTATTTTTATAACCTACTTAGATAAGAGTGGGTGGAAAAGGCTAGCAATGATGAGGGAAAAGAATCCTTTGTTTTTATTGTTAAAAATGACCTTTAATCTGAACTCATTCAGCAAGTATTTGGTCATCTTTTTTGTGCTCAGAATCATGGTCGCAGTGCAGTATGAAGATAAATAAATCAGTATGTTCTAGTGCTTTCTGCCATTAGTACCATGATGCAAGATCAACATGGGGCCACCTGTCATAGCCATCTCCCACTGCCTCCCTGGTGTTCTTCTAATATTCCTTGCTTTCATGTTTCTTGACCTCTTTCATGTATTCAGAAATTACCGAGAATCTCCTGTGTGTTAGGCACTGTGAGAAAGAACATTTTAAAAGACAGTTTTTACCTAAAAGGGATTCACTATGTGTAGAGGAGACAGATTTGAAAATAGATTAAGAGGAATGCTGTGTTAGTCAGTGGTGGAGAATGTATAATTCATAGTAGTGACAAAAGGGAGAAGCCATCAACCCGGGTAATAAAGATCTAGAACACTCCACAGTAGCATTGCGTAAGCTGGTCTGAAGTATGAATATTTATTCTGCTCTATATTGTTAACTTTCTTTGAACTCTTATAGCTCTTCATCATAGCACCTTTATACAAGATACCACTCTCTATCTTGAATTGTTATTTTGCAACTGAAATTCTCTCCACTAAGCCAGACAATGTGATACTTAAAGAAACAAGTTGAGGACCGCAGTCACACTCTCATATACTGTTGAGAGCCACAGCCGAAGGGGCCCCAGCAAACTTCCAGCTGCCGGCCGATGATTGGCTCACAGCGGCCCCAGCAACATCTAGCTGATTGGCTCCTCTGTGGTGATGCTCATTGGAGATGCTCATTGAGCTGTTTCCCCGCCCTTTCAGACTGCCAGCTGATGATATACACAATCTCTTTTAACCTATAATGTAATGGAAAGTCTCATCTCATGTCTTGATGCTGTTGATCCTTGGTTGCTTTTTCAGACTCTGACTGTGTTGGAGTAGAAACAAGTCAGCTCTGGGACTTCTTTTCTCTCTTTCTTCCTTCATCACTTTATTTAATATTTTGAAACCACATTTATGCCCTTCTCTATTAAACTAACCTATTTTATTTTCTTTATAGTGTATTGCTATCTAAAATTATCTCGTTTATTGATTTGCCTTCTCATTCATTATAAGTCTTTCTTAATGGATATAAGTTCTGGGAGAACTTGGCCATTGCTGTGCTGCCAGCACCCATGATAATGAGTGCTCAATGTGCACTTTCCAAAAAAGAGAATTAGTCTATCAGAAAGGTAAAGGGCGTGAGGTGCACCCTGTCCACTCTACCTCCCTTCTTCCTGGTTCATTTTCTTTCATGGAGCTCTCACCTTGTATTGAGCACTGAGTTTCGCACCAGGGTTGCACAAGTGGTCATCTTAGTTCCTGAGAACTCATGGATGGACAAAGAGTTTATTGTCCACTTGGAGGAGGATTCATTCCTGCTCCATTTCTTTTTCCTCCTTTGTTCCTGACACCAAGCTTATCCCACTATACTTGGTAGGCTGTACTTAGCCTGAGTTGACTAGTGCCAAGGGGCTTTTAGGATATATGACTCCCATGTGAAAGACACACAACACAAGAAATACAGACAGTAAAATGTGCATATTTAAAACAGCAACTGGGTACCATTACATTTAATCAGCAAAAAGTTAAATGAGATAAGTTATAGATTTATGAAATTATACATTATTGTCAGGTTTTTCAAAAATAATTTGTCTACATTTTTATCCATAAAAATATTTTTACTCTTTATTCCAAAGATAACAATTATTTGAATTTATTCAACATATTAAATAGGGAAACTATAATAAGATGAAATTTTCATGAAATATAGCTGGGTTTTAAAAAGGTAAAAAGAAAAATTGAATGTAATCATGGTTATAAATTATGTGTTCAGATTCTCCTTATAGAAAGTCAGAAAGTTAGGGGTGCTGGCAGGTGGGCCACTCAACCTGGAAGCCCAGCCAGGAGTGACTGGGAGAAAGCTTATAGGAGCCGAGGGTAAGGAATATTCTAAAGGACTAGTAGAAAAAGACTCCAGATACTGTGTCCCTGAATGGAAATTGTGGGTATCAGACAGGAACAATAGCATTCTGACTGATCTCCCTGCATCTGCTCTTTGCTACAAGATACTTTTGAGAAGAAAGAACACCTTTATTCTCAAGGTAATGTTTGTAAATTAACAGTCCAGGCCAGACAGCATTGCAGTGTTCTCTTTCCTTATGATCTTTTCACTATCTAATCTATCAATTATATTCTGGATTGTATTTTTTAACTTGAAATATAAAGAAACTCTTGGCACTGTCTGTAATCCCAGCACTCTGGCAGATGGGCAGAAGGATCCCAAGTTCAAGGCAGTTTTAGCAACTTTGTAAGACCCTCAGTAACTTAGTGAGACCCTGTCTCAAAATAAAAATATAAAAAGGACTGGGTATATAGCTTAGTGGGTAAGCACCCTTGTTTCAATCCACAATTCCAAAAAATAAAATTAACAAAGAAAGAAACTCTTAACAGTTTTTGTTAGAATAAATATCCCTTTAAAAAATGTAATAAAAGGTATGGTACTTTTCCCCTGATAAATCTACCTATGTACATGTAAATTTTATATACATCATAATTATCCCCACTGCAAGCCCATGAATAGGTTTCCCAGAAATACTGAGGACAGCAACTTAGACTCCATGAATGAGTTTATATCAAAGTCTTTTGCCCTTACACATTCGTTTCCTAAAGGCAAATCCCACCCTTTTCACTGCTACATCTTAGAATATAGTATAGTACACAATATTTTTACCATGAACTAAGGATTCGTATGTTGTGTTCTTATTTGCTTTTATTTCAGGTCATAATAACGATCCCTTTCTATGACTGCTATGAGCCCATGGTTAGAATGGCTGGAGCAACACCTGTATTTATTCCCCTACGATCTGTAAGTTTGCCATTCAGCTCATATGCTTTAAGAATTCTTGAAAATATCAATTACTTTGTCAAAAAGATCTATGAAGTTTCTAAGTCTTTTCAAATAATTAATACACTAAGAGGAATCACAGAATTTCCATTAGCCTTGTAGTACCACACATTAACCTTAGTTATGGCTGGTCCCTGGGGAAGAAAACAGGCATGTTAACAGCTGTTAATGTTGACAGGTTCATTTTTCCTTTAACAGGTGTGCACATAAGACTCTGGTCCTCTTGAGCTCTCAAGGCAGAACTAAAGCCCAGTTATTTCTATTTATATTCTTTGTTAGTCATGTAGTCAGTTATCTTGACCAGGCCTTTCTCTAATTTTTTCCTTATTAGAATATTTATTTGTAAGACAGCAAAATGAATTCATTACATTAAGTCACATCTTTATTCTTCATGCTTAGAAACCTGTTGATGGAAAAAAATGGTCTAGTTCTGACTGGACATTAGATCCTCAAGAATTGGAAAGTAAATTTAATTCTAAAACCAAAGCCATTATACTAAATACTCCACACAACCCCATTGGCAAGGTAAGCGAGTCTCTCAACTCTATTCAGTCTTTGACGTGTTGTTTTCCCACATGTGGAATAATAATTGGCTGCGCTCTTTCCTTTAATATGTGTAGGTGTACACCAAAGAGGAACTCCAAGTAATTGCTGACCTTTGCATCAAATATGACACACTCTGCATCAGTGATGAAGTTTATGAATGGCTTGTATATACTGGAAATAAGCATTTAAAAATAGGTACTGATGATTACACAGAGTCACAAATCTAAATGTGTTTGGGCACATATAGAGCAACTGATGGGAAAGGATCCCATGCCAGCTTTAAAATAGACCTTGTAGTGGACATCTGCCTGAGCCCTTAAAAATAGCTATTTGAATGACTCTTCTCTCCTGAATTAATGAACAGCATGACAGACTAACAGTACAAACTTAAACTTAGGGAAAGAGATTTCACATCACAATGTAAAGCTGAGAAGACAACAGAGTAGTGCTCTTTGGCTTCTTAGTAAGAATCCTGCTGTTCCTCAGTATCACAGTACATTAGACAGAAGGAGCACAATTGTTCCTGAATGGTTCTATACTCAGTGATGTGCAAGTTGCCAAATGCCAAGGCAACAGGAAGGAATCATGGGACAGTAAGTCACTGCCTCTCTGTCCTGGCCTGGGATGCTGCCATTACTACTGGGCCATCTCACAAATGCCCGTGTTTTCTGGGGCCTAAACTTGTAAGCTAAGCTGCAACATTTTTGAGTGTTTGCACTTGCCCTTCCTTTGCCTGGAAACACTTTCTCCCAATTATTCCGTCCTTCAGGTCTTTGCTCTGATGTCACTTTTCATGACCTACACATTTAAAGATAGTGACCCTTCTCTCCTTGGACTTTGCTTTGTCCATTTTCTGCCTTATTTTGCTTTTTCCCCCTTTATTGTAAATATCAGAATCAGAATCTATGTATGTCACTTGTAAATTACAAGATGGTAGAGATTATTGTTTACATTGGTTTCTCAATCTCCATTTTTCAGAATAGGATCTTGCAGGTGGTAGACATGAGAAAGTAGTTGTTGAATAAATGAATAGGAAATAGAAAAAGAACAAGGAAAGGAAGACTCAAAGATTCTGTGAGAGAAATAAATTAAGTTTAAAAATTAGTGCACGTGTATATAACGAGTTGTGGCACGTGCTATGACTGTTTCTAACATATATTCCAAACAGACGTAAAGGTGGGAGGAGACCACAACTGCTGGAGTGAATCAGAAAAGCAGTAGGCAAAAGATGGAATGAAGTAGATGAGAAATGAAAACTAAATTCCTATCAGATAATGAGCACATCCTTAGACAGGGAGGCATAAAATATCAATATAGACTTAGAAAGATAAACGATTTGATTTATAAGGGTGTGCTACAGTGGCTGGCACCAAAGAGGATAGGGAAGAAGGGCATCCTGAAGGACTTTTATATGAGAATAAAGAGTATAAACTTGGCTGCAGAGATCATGTGTTCTAAAACATTCCTCGGATAGCACCTTGAAACCACAGCATTCTGTGCATCATAAAATAGTGACATGATGAAATTAGGAGAAGTTCTGTCTTGAAATTAGAAGTGATTCTTCCTGACAGAAATCTGACAATTAAAAATCAATATGAAAATCACAGTGCTATTCATACTTGTCAGTAACAAAGACCTATTGAAACCGACACATTCGAGTTTTTCTGATTTTGCCATTAAGATCCATTCACCAAGATTCATTTATTCCACAGCACATAGCATTCACTGTCAGATAAATCACAGCAATTGCCAAAAGCTTCAAAAAATTGTGTGGAAGAAAACAAAATTGATTTTTTTTAAGTCCTATACATTGACATGATCACCAGGGTGTCAGTTAGCATACTTTGAGAACTATTGCAAAATGTATGACAAGGCAGATGAATTGGTTCCATGGTTGGATTTTTTTAAGTAAAGGTAAGAGTCAGGTGCACATGAGGGCCTCTGTGGGGGTTAATTGCTAATACATATCTGAAGGTTGAACGAATAAATGAATGAATGATTTTTAAAGATTTTATCAACTTGAAAATCTTTGCACAGTTGATTCTCATTATAAATTCTTTATTTGCAAATTTATCCAGTCCCTAAAATACATTTGCAACCTCGTAATTGATACTCACAGCACTTCATTCAAAGAAGGACCAGAAATTTGCCTCACCCAACACATGCATTCCCAGTCGAGGCTGAACAAGGTGATACTCTTCTTGCTTTAGCTCATCTATAAGAAGCATCCTACATGGTGATTTTGCTGTTTAAAATTGCCCAAAAGCATAGTGCAAAAGTGCTGGCTAGTGTTCCTAAGCACAAAAAGGCTGTCATGTGCCTTTCAGAGAAAATGTGTGTATTTGATAAACTCAGGTACAGCTTCTGTTGTTGGTGGCGTTGGAGTTATTAGAGGATGAAGCTAAAGAATTCAGTTTTCCCTCTGAGGTGGAAAAGATGTTTTAAAATTGATTGTAGTGATGGTTGCACAACTCTGTAGGTATACTGAAAACAACTGAATTGTACACTTTAAGTGAGCAAATTATATGATAGTTTTTTTTTTTTTCAATCTATGAGACATAAGCAGATCACATACACATAGATTAATAGGCCCGCCCTCAGAGTGTCTGATTCAGTGGTGTGGAATGAAGCCAAACAAACTGCCTTTCTTACAGTGATGCTGGTATTGCTGGTGTGGGGTCACGTTTTAAGAGTCATTGCTCTGAGAAGCTTAGAGAAACAAACTCAGAAAATGAGCAGAATAAAGGGAGGCTGTGCAGTAATCAGGACCCAACCCCAAGTAAAACCATGCCAAAGGATCATTGTGTTCGACATACAGCTAGCTACCCCTAGCACTGAGCACTGGTTGCCACAATTCATCTGACAGCTGCCACTTGGCCTGGCCTGGATTGCTGCCTACTGATATCCTTGTCACTCCTGCTCATGGGAATAATTTTGCCACTTAAAATTATTAAATCTATTTACATGTTATTTTGGTACAACATTGTATATTCTAAAGCATTTCAACATTTTCAGCTGAGTTTGGACTATCTGAAAAAAATCTATTGACATAACTATATTAACTTCTCTGTAATTAATATATTTGTTTTCATTGAATTTGTGTACCTTTGTTTTTAGATCCTACTAAATGTAGATTGATTGGAAAGCAGTTTTTCAACTTTTTTTTTTTCCAGCCACGTTTCCAGGTATGTGGGAAAGAACAGTCACAATAGGAAGTGCTGGGAAAACTTTCAGTGTGACCGGCTGGAAGGTAAGAGGAATAAGAATTTAGGGATGTAGCTCATGGTAGAGCACATGCTTAGCATGTGAGAGGCCCTGGGTTTGATGCCAAGCATCCCCAGATTTTTTTTAATTTATTAAAATAGGCATGTATTTTATTTTTTGTAGTAGTTTTTGTGTTAAATGTATATATATTCACATTACATAGATTTTTATACTTAATCATCTTTTGTTTATTGATTTACTCAACTTTCGTGTTGAACTTCATTCTGTTTTGGTACTAGGGATTGAACCTAGGAGTTCTTAGCCACTGAGCACATCCACAGGCCTTTTTATGTTTTATTTTGAGACAGGGTCTCACTAAGTAGCCTAGGGCTTCAGTAAGTGGCTGAGGCTGGCTTTGAACTTGCCATCCTCCTGCCTTAGACTCCACAGCCCCTGGGATTATAGACTGGCGCCACTGTACCTGGCTTTGAGCTTCATTCTTATTGAGATCCAATAACATCTTTAAAAATAAGAAAAATTAGGTAATTTTTTATTTTATAAGTGATCAAATGATGCTATTTTTTCTTTGCAAAGGAAGTTCAGCATAAAAGAAGAAAAATAATAATGATGAATATTTTGGCATTTACATGTACCAGACTCTAAAGTGTTTTACATGTACTAATTCTTTTCATTCTTATAACATTATAAGATGGGTACAATTATTATCCCTGTTTTACAGATGATAAAATAAAACACAGAAAAGTTAAATATCTTGCCTGAGATTATATTGCTGATGAATTCAAGCCATGGCAGACTTGAATTCAGAATCCACGTACTTAACCACTATACTGTTTATTAAAAAATAAATGCATCCAATTGAAACTCAGTTCTCTTCCAGCCTCATCCCTACTGAACATGGATGCAGGGAGCATCAAAAGGAGGCCTCCAGAATCAAAGGCTTTGATGTTTTGATGATGTGAGAGTCCTCTAGGCCCTCCTTCAGAGTTACGTGTATCTATAATTCACACAAGCTTTCCCACTGGAAATACCAGAAGACACAAATTAGTAGAGGGAGGGAAGATTAATAATGATTGCAGGCTTTGTTTACCTTCCAAAGGCACAGCTCAGTAAGAAGGCATTGCTTAGAGACTCCAGTTGGAAACTCACACCAAAAGGATGGTGTTGAAATTTTAAGTATGAATACTGGCCTGCTTTCATAATGTGAACATTTCTTTCTTTCTTTTTTTTTCTTTTTAATTTATTCTGTGTGTATGTGTGCACACACATGCAATACTAGGGATGGAACTCAGGGATGCTCTACCACTGAGCTACATCACCAGCCCGATTTTGGAGCTGGGGGCAGAGGGTCTCAGGAAGTTGCTAAGGCTGGCCCTTAACTTGTCATCCTTCTGCCTTAGCCTCCTGAGCTGCTGGGAGCCTCCTGAGCTGCTGGGAATTATAGGCATGTTCCACTGTGCCTGGCTTTAACATGAACATTTCTGAATTGCCTGTATTTAACAATTGCATTAACTGCTGTCTCCAATTTGATACACATTATTAGACAAATTTTTGAAACCTGTTTTTATTTTTTTCTTTCCCAGCTTGGCTGGACCATTGGTCCTAATCATTTGATAAAACATTTACAGACGGTTCAACAAAACACTGTCTATACTTGTGCAACTCCTTTACAGGTAGGTGTTGGGGCAACAGGGGGTTGAAACATGGATTGTTGGTGGAGGTGTCACTTTTATTTGCATGTTTGAATTGACTTTATTCTTCCCTCCAGGTCCTCCCTGAGCAGGGCCTTCTAATATAATCTGGGAATTGAGGAACAGATGCATAGTCACTGTTATGGGGCTAGTTTTGTTTTGTTTCTTTGAACACACGTACATTGCTGTGGGGAATACAAAGTGCTACCAACTCTCTGAAGGATGGTGGCAGCACTCAGCAAATTAGAGATTGCTAACCCTATGAACAGCATTCCATCTTCTGAGGATTTACGCTAGAGCTATTATCAGCACATGCAAGATAGGGATAGATGTGGCTGTTTATTGCAGATGATTGGGTTTAGTCCATTACCCATCTATGGACAGGTAGTTAAATAAACCTTGATCTAGTCAAGTATCAAAATATTATATGACTTTATTAATTTCTTCTTGCTGCTATAACAAAGTACCACAGATCTAGTGACCTAAAACAACACAAATTTGTTATCTTACATGTCAGAGCTGGAAATGGATCTTATAGGGCTAAACGGTGGGTGTTGGCATTGCTGTGTTCCCCCTGGAGGTGTAGGGAAGAATCAGTTCCTTGCCTTTTCCAGCTTCTAAGGTTGCCCGCATTCCTTGGCTCATGGTCACATCCCTCCAACCTCTGCTTTCTGCCAACACATAACTTTCTGGCTCTTATCTCTTCTACCTCCTCTTTCCCTCATAAGGACCTGTGTAATTACATTATCCCTGTTGAATACTCTCTCAACCCAAGACTCTTAATTTAAATCTCATCTGTAAAGTTCCTTTTACCATATAAGGTGACATTTACAGGTTATGAGTTTGAAGATACAAGCATCATTGGGGGACACTATTCCACCTACTGCAATAGCTATTTAAAAGAAAGAGAACAAGAAACTTTAAAAGTACTGATATGGAAAAATTTCCAGAATATATTATGAAGTTAAAAAAAACACAATGTATACATATATTTATGCTACATTTTGTGTAAGAAAAGGGGGACTTCTTATGTTTTTCTTGAAGGAACTCTGGAAGGATCCTAAGAAACTAGTAAAAGTGGCTATTTGGGAGGTTAAGAGAAGTGGATGAAATTAGTTGATAGGGACAGGAGTAGGTACCAGAACTTTTAATGTATATTATTTCTACTTTTGTGTTTATTTACAGAAACAAATCTATTTATCATTCTGTGAATAACCAAAATGTGGAAAAAATATTCTATTTCTAGAAGGCAGTTAAAGAACAAAAGACTAAAGTGTATTGGCTTCACGAAATTGACTTAATTTTTTTGCTTCCTTTGAACAAATACCTGCTTAATAGGAAAAGGTTTCATTGAAATTCTTTTTTCTTTCTTTCTTTTTCTTTTCTTTCTTTCTCTTTTTAAGTAATACTATGAAAAAGGCCAGCTCTAATATTTGGATCCATTTGATACTGATAATTGAACCCAGGAGCTCTTTACTACTGAGCTCCATCCCCAGTTCGTTTTTATTTTGAGACAGGGTCTCACTAAATTGCAGAGGCTAACCTTGAACTTGTGATCTTCCTCCCTCAGCTTCCTGAGTAGCTGGGATTGTAGGAATGTACCACTATGCCCAGTTTTATTATATATCGAAGTCATATTATCCTTTTAATAAATCCATTCAGTTATTTAACAACTATTTTCTGAGTATTGAAGTTAGAGCAGACAAAATAATACACAAGTATTTTTAAAGTATAAGGTGTCCAAAGCTGATAGAGGCAAAGAAAAAAAGGTGAAGCAGAGAAGAAAAGGAATATAGAGTGTCAAGGGAGGAATATACAATGTTATATACGGTAATCTTTGTGAGCTTCAGTAAGGTGACTTTAGGAGATTTAATAGTCAGGTGGTTACCTAGAGAAGAACGCTGTGGACTGAGAGAACGGCAAATGCAAATGCCCTGACAATCTGACTGGCAGTTTGTATCACTGACCAGCATAGAGGCTGGGATGGGATAATTAAGAGAGAAGAGTAGGAGGAGCTAAGACCAGAGAGATAGCTGGAGGTCCGATCAAGCTGAGCTGTGTATGTCACTCTTAAGACTATGTCGCTTAAGACAATGTCACAACATAGGCAGCCACTGGAGAGTTTTGAGCACAGCAATGACATATTCTGGCTTGTGTCATCAAGATCTGGTGCTTTATTTTTTAAAAATTTTTTTTATTTTATTTTTTTAAGAGAGAGAGAGATAGAGGAGAGAGAAATTTTAATATTTATTTTTTAGTTTTCGGCGGACACAACATTTTTTGTTTTTGTATGTGGTGTTGAGGATCGAACCCAGGCCGCACGCATGCCAGGCGAGCACACTACCACTTGAGCCACATCCCCAGCCCAGATCTGGTGCTTTAGAGAGTGAGAAAGCCTTTCCAGAGATTCAGGAGAGAAGTGCTAGTAAATTGAACCAATAAGGTGAAGGGAGACTTGACGAAAAGTGATTGCATTCTGAATATATTTTGAAGTTAAACTAACAGTTTTTGTCAATGGATTCTTTATGGGTTTTGAGAAAAAGAGAGGAGTCCAGGATAATGCTGCAGTTAGACTGCTGGTGTCTTTGCACTTTGAATTTTCTAGGGCACTATCTTCTACAGTGAATGAATAAGAAAAAGATACAGCTGAGAATCTCAAGCATCTTTTTTTCTGAATCACCTTATTCTCCATTTCAGCTAAGTGTCCTGTTTTCCCCTCAGCCATGTTTGGAAACTGGTTCCTGGTTTCTTAATACTGTGGAATTATTAATGCTATTTTATTGCCAAATTCTTTTGCCATGAAGCCTGCTCTGTGTTCTCATCTCTTGTCATGTCGTACCTCTTGCTGCTGTTCAGCCGTACTGAACTTCTCTCAGTTCTTCCAACAAAACAAATTATATCTTCCCATGTTCATTTATTTGTTTTCTTCTCTCCACCCCCATCCCTTCCAGGGTGTACTAATTGGAAACTCTATAAAACAAGGATTATGGCTTGTTAATTGTTTTATTCCCAACTCTTATCTGAACTCCAAGCTTAACATTTATATAGTTCCTCAATATATATTTACTGAGTGAATGAATTTATCCTTTAGTTCTTGACATCTTTTCCTTCTGGTTCATCTCCTTAAAATTTGACTGCTTTGCTTCCTGTTCACAGAGTGACATTTATTTCTTTATGTGTTTTCTCCCTAACTTATCTGTGTATCCTAGGTTCAGAGCCTAACACATAGTGGGCATTTAAATGAGGTTTGTTCATTTAGTATTCAGTACAGAATATTAAAATACAAAAATGAACTTTATGAACTGAGAGAGAGAAAAAAAATGACTACTCTGCTCTTTTCTTCTCTCTCTCTCTCTTAGCTATTCCAGTTCTTGGTTCTTTGCCTGGATCTCCTTATTGGCTCTGATACCATCCTTTCTACGCCATCCCTGTTCACTTTGCCTGCTGAGCTTCTGCTCTCTGCATGTGCAGATCTTTGTTCTTTTTGTGTATCCTGGTTTTGCCCTGTGTAGTTGTTCCTGGCCTGTTGTCTCCTCAGACATCTTGGTCTGTTCAGGCTGCTATGACAAAGGACCATAGATCAGGTGGCTTATCAACAACAAAAAAAATTTCTTATAGTTCTGGGGTGGGAAGTGCTAGATCAAGGCACTGGCAGATTCTGCATCAGATGAGGGCCTGTTTCCTCATGAATGTCACTTTTTCACTTTGTCCTCACAGTGGCCACATTGGTGGGAGGGTTCCTTCTATAAGGACACTAATACAATTCCTGGGGGCTCTGTGTCTTGATTTAATCATTGCCCAGAGGCCCAGCCCCCTCATACCAACACCTCGGGGATTAAGAAGTCAACATATGGATTTAGGGAAAATAAACATTAAGTCCATTGCATTTAACATTAACTTGTTTCTTGACCCAGCTTCTCTTCCTGGCTTTTCTGACTTGTTTAGAGAGAGGTAGAAGAGTTTCCCACATGCTCCAGAAACTCATTGCTGATCCTTATTTCATTTAGATGTATGTTCCAGGGTTATCAGTGTTTGTAGCTAGGATTTCCACACTATGGGGAATGGGGAGTACATGTCCTCCTCAACACAGTGGGTCATCTCTCATGTCCACCGTGTCCTCCCAGTGATGGGGAAACCTGACTGCTTTATCATTTCTCTGGTCATTTTTCAGACTTAGATTTGGCAAATTATTCTACAGCTCACCTCAATCTTAATGATTTTTTTTTAACCAAATAAACCATCTTTAGATAATACTTACTCTTTTCAGTTTGGACTTTCATAACTCAGAATGAGTCTGTCAAGTTACATTTAATCATTTTCTTATCACTGATTCCTCCATATAGGTTCACCAGAATTTCCTGAATGATCATTCTGCCAATAATAGTACTCAGATGATCTTTATTTATTATACCAATAAACTGAGCAATGACTAACATTACCATATTTCCTCTCCACATTTTTCAACCTTAATATACAGGAAGCCCTGGCTCAAGCTCTTTGGATTGATATCAAGCGCATGGATGACCCAGAGTGTTACTTTAATTCTTTGCCAAAAGAATTAGAAGTAAAAAGAGATCGGATGGTGCGTTTACTTGAAAGTGTTGGCCTGAAACCCATAGTTCCTGATGGGGGATACTTCATCATAGCTGACGTGTCTTTACTGGGTTTGTAAAGGTTTTTATTACTTCAATTATACAGAAACTTATGTCTTAAATTATAGCATAATTATGCAGAAAAGATTGGGGTCAAAGCTATAGCAGTATTTTATCTATAGAAAAGGATGGATTTTCACCATGTGAACTTTTATGATTATCTTTACTTTTAGAACTTCTACCTGAAATGTGACTGTTGATAAGTGGTAGTGTTTAGTAGAGTCAGTGTTGTTCAAGGTATTCTATTAAACATAGAATTTGTTCTCATCCTGTTCTGCATGTAATTTAAACACCAGTATATGAACTAACATAGGTACCCTGTGTTCATTTAAACAAAATTTTAATTTCTTTTTTGCTTAACTTAAAAATCCCCAATAGTTCTATGTCTAAAAAACAAGTTATTACTTAAAGCTGATAGATGTAATTCTGACATGCCATCCACAATCTAAAAATTAAAAACATGATGTTTTATATATAACTTACTTTCCTTTAAAAAAATCCTATGAGGAGCTGGGGGTTGTGGCTCAGCAGTAGAGTGCTTGCCTAGCATGTGCAAGGCCTTGGGTTTGAGTCTCAGCACCACATAAAAATAAATAAATAAAATAAAGGTATTATGTCCAACTTCAACTAAAATCAAAATGTTTTTTAAAAATCCTATGAGTAATAATAAACTGTACACAACTATTCTAAATTTAGTTTTGTTTTTAAAATCTAATTACGAAAAAGCTATATGCCACTCAACTTGAAAAACTGAAATTTTTTATTTATTCCAAATTTTAGAAAACTGGAGAAAGTAAAATAAATTTTCAATTTTATGACAAAACAATGATTATATTTTTGAATTTATATTCCTCAAGCAGGAATTATTTTCTAGTACACAAATATGTGACAGTACCAATTTCTGTGTCTTGTAATGGTTCACTATCACCTTTGGGGAGCAAGGTGTCATGGTTTTCCCATGCTTCGGACTTGAGAGAGTGGTTATAAATCCAGATGGGGCAGCAGGGAGGTGGACGTGGGTGTCTTTCCCAGAACGTTCCTTATCCTGGTGAGCAGCCCCATGCCTCAGTATGTGATCTGGGAAGCGTTGTTTATACTGGCTGACACCCCTGGGGCTCTTGTCTGACCTGTGTCCAGTTTATCCTACCAAGATAGCCACTTTGTAGGAAAGCTCTTTTCAGGAGGAAAGTCCATTTTGGTTCTTTTGGACAAGTAAGACACAGCAGAGGCAGAAGAACAAACCACATGAAATGAAGAATCCATGTATTACTTACAGATCCCAGGGAGAAGAGGCCAGCACTCCTGGTAGAGATCACAGGAAGTGTGGGCCCTCCGGAAAATGCACACTCAACCTGTGGGTAGAAAGCAAGAGAGAGAAGGAAGGACTTGTGGGTCAAAGCCGGGGTTTTTTGTTTTTTTTGCTTTTTGTGGTATTGGAGATTAAACCCAGGTTTAAAATTATGCCATGTAGGAGGAAGAGGAAGTCAATAGTTGGGTCCCCTGAGTTCATATGGTATTGTAATTAGCATTACAATTGTAATTACCACTGAGCTACATCCCCAACCCCCGTGTCCCCTTGTCCTCTTCAGTTTACAGCAGTACAGGACTGCACTGTGTGTGCCAAAGTCTTCCTTACCCCAGCAGGAGCGTTAACCAGCAGACACAAGCTGGTTACACTTTGAGAGATTGTAGGTGTAGTGGATCTTTACAATCTTTGCGGGGGGATGGGGGGGCCAGTTAAGAGGGCAAGTCAAATGGGTTGTACTTGACTGTTCCACAGGGAAGTGGTCACCAGGAGGTGATTATACAAAGAAAATATCTGAGAGGAACAGAGGAAGTAGAGAAGTGGAAACTTTGAGGGTGTTGAAGTCTTGCTTCTGGTATGAGAATGTCCAACTTATGTACAGAACAGATACTGAGATAACATGAAAATATAAGAATTTACTACCTAAGGTTTGGCTCAAACTGAAACAAGTTTATCTGTCTTCATTTGTTGTGAGAGAACAAGAAGCTATGGCAAGCAGAGGTTCTTGTGGTCCTATTGCCAGAGAGCTGTACTTGGCAGGTTCCCAGGCTCCATATGTACGTAAAATCCTTTCAGATGTTCTGTACTCGGAGGTTTGGAAAGCAAACCTATATTGGGTCTAAACCGGCAGCTTGTTTTATGAGATGAGAAAAAGAAATAGCACAGTTTTCATCACTTATATTTTTGCCTTTGAATCAGAAATCCACAAAATTCTCCACATGAATTATTTTAAAGAAAGTGATGTATACTTCATGTTTCCAAAAGGAATTTGAGCCTACTCACATTAAAAGTCTCTTACATAGTAACGTATGAGTAGAAATGACCACATATTATAAATTAAAAAATCATGCCATGTAGGAGGTGGAGGAAGTCAATAGTTCGGCTCCCTGAGTTCATATGGTATTGTAGTTAGCATTAACTTGAGACTTTCGTGGCAGCAAAGGGAAATTGAAAAATGGAGTTGATTACATAATTCCTGGTTAAAGGAAACTTCATAGTTTCTTAGATAAAAATAGTTCTTGTCTGGACTCAAGTTTTTCCAGATAGTAAATTCTAAAAAGGATTTCTCACACTGTGACATTAATTATCAAAAGGACAATGATGGAACTCGGATTATTGCACTAAGCTTTTAATTAGTTTCCAGTGCTTTCCTCAGTCAATCCATCCAGCATGCAACACCCTCTTAGACCTTGAACTAGTGTAGTTAAAATAAGAATGGAAAGGATTTGGGATAGAGAACCTTTCTTCAGGGGATGTGGGTGGGAGTGGAGCTTGCTTCTTTATGGTCCTCACCTATGGGGAAATGTTTATGTCTGTAAAATCCTCCTACACATGAAGAAAACTTTGTTTTATTTTATACTTTTACTTATTTTGATTAATTTGCAGTGTTTAAGTTCTTCTATGTACTACAGGTTTGTTCTATGCTTTACTAAATGTAAAACAAAAACCTTCATTTGATGGAAAACGAAAGACAAAAGTAAACTATAATATTTGTGAATATAGAAAACATTTCACTTTACAATTAGCAACAGTTGTTAACTGGTTAATATTTATTGAGCATTTGTAATATAGTAGGTATTACATTAAGAGTTTTACAAGGCCAGACATGGTGGCACACACTTGTAATCCCAGCTGCTCAGGAGGCTGAGGCAGGAGGATCACGAATTCAAACCCAACCTCAGCAAGGCACTCAGTAACTCAGTGAGACCCTGTCTCTAAATAAAATACAAAATAGGGTTGGGGATATGCCTCAGTAGTTGAGTCCCAAGTTCAATCCCTGGTAAACTGCCCCCACCCCCCAAAAAAGAGTTTTACAAACATCACATTTTCAAGAGAGTTATGAGATTGGTGCTATCAAGTCCCCACTGTTAGATGAGAAAGATAGAGGATCAAAGCTGTGTAAGGGGGGATATAGCTCAGTTGGTAGAGTGCTTGCCTCAAATGCACAAAGGCCTGGGTTCAACCCCCAGCACCACACAAAAATAAAAAGCTGGTTATGGTGGCCCACCCTTGTAATATTAGCAATTCTGGAGGCTGAGGAAGAAGGATTACAAGTTTAAGGCCAGCCTCAGCAATTTAGTGAGGCCTTAAGCAACTAAGTGAGACCTAGTCTCAAAAAGGGCTGGGGATGTGGCTTAGTGGTTAAGTGCCCCAGTGCTCAATCCCTAGTGCTCCCTGCCTCTCCCCAAATAAAGAGACAGAGTATCAAATTAATTTACTGAAGTTAATCAACTAATAAGTAACGGAACTGATTTCTGAACCTAGAGATTTACACCCTGACCAATGAACTTCATCCTAGAACTTAAAAAGGGGAATCTCCTGCCATTGCTTCTACTAAGAATCAGAATTACTTAGTAAATTTCATTAATAAGAGTACCCATCAACATTAGCTATTTTGGGGTATGCCAGAAAATCTAACAATATAAGTCAATAAATTTAAAACAATAGGAAATATAATGTCAAACTAATGTCAGAGAAATATCCTGCCCAGACTTTAAAGCAAGATTGATGAAAGGGATAATAATAGGGATGCATATTTGAAGGTCTTTCCCTCAAATATAAAATATTAAAAACAGCGTATTACATGGAAGCAAGAGATAAACAATAAGTATAGCATTTGGAAAATCTAAACAGACATTTTCGGTTTATAAATAATAATACGTACTGATTCAACAAATATGTTTTTTTCAAAATTTATATGCTAGCCATTCACCTAAGTGTTGGGGGAAACAAAGATTTAAAAAATGGACACTTTATCCTCATGGAGCTTAAAAATCAGTTAGGAGATATAAATATCGCTTATGAATATATTTAGTTGTTATTTCATTAGTAGTTGCTATGGAATCTTATTTCTAGATGGAAAGGCAACACTCCTCTTCTCTTCCCCTTTCCTGTATCTTCCTGTTCTAACAGCTGCGTGTGTGTAGAAGTGTGGTTGGTGCACGTGAGTGCTGCTCTGAATTTCTCACTTTGCACCTCATCGTGCAGTTCAAGTACCAGCATATTCTGTGAATATCCTCTAAGAAAGTTCTAAACCAAACCTATTTAAATCAGAAAAAAAAAATGAATCTTGATAGACTTAAGTGAAATCCATGTTGTCTTAGATGCTGACCTTTCTGATATGAAGAATGATGAGCCTTATGACTATAAATTCGTGAAATGGATGACTAAAAATAAGGTATGTTTATTGGCCTTGGAACATCGTGTCGTATTTTATAGATAACTATGAAGGAAACTTGCTAACATGCTTTGGAAATTATTTACTGTATTTTTGTTACATGTTATTCTACTCATGGCTTCTTGAAGGATTTTGGGGGGGGAGGGGGCAGAGTACCAGGGATTGAACTCAGCGGCACTTAACCACTGAGCCACATCCCCACCTCTATTTTGTGTTTTATTTAGAGACAGGGTCTCACTGGGTTGCTTAGTGCCTCGCTGTTGCTGAGGCTGGCTTTGAACTCCCAATCCTCCTGACTCAGCCTCCTGAGTTGCTGGGATTATAGGCATGTGCCACAACACCTGGCTTCTTGAGGGATTTTTAAGATATTCTTCTTTTTGGAAATTGTTAATATTCAGAAGTGTGTATTTATTTCTCAAAATTAATATTTGAAATGTAAATAGTTTTCCTCCTAGATCATCCTGTTTATTTTTCAGAAATTATCAGCCATTCCTGTTTCGGCATTCTGTAACTCAGAAAGTAAACCACAGTTTGAGAAGTTTGTGAGGTTTTGCTTCATTAAAGTAAGTTCCCTGTTATACCCAAAAACACATTTATAATATTCTTCCTTGCAATTTATAACACACTTTTACTCTGTTGCTACAAATTATAGGTTCATATGCAGTTTTTACATTTTTGACTTGTTGCCATGAAATTAACTGTATACCAAAACTAGACACAACCTACTTTGAGGGAAGGAACATAATCCAGAAAATGTATCTATAATATAGCAATGCCCAGCCTATAATAAAAAAAATAACTAGATGTGTGAAAACACACACCAAAAAAAGTGACCCATAATTTCTCAAAAAGTATTCGAGAAAAAGGAAAATATCGTCATAAGGAGTACAGAGGAATTTAGGACTATAAAAAAAGAAACATGAAAATTTAGGACCTTAAAAGTATAATATCTAATCTGAAATATTCATAGGGTTTAATAGAGGGTTTAAAATATCAGAGGAATAAAGGTCAGTTTATATACAGAGTCATAGAAATAGATTCAGTACTTTTAAAAAGAAAAGAAAAAGTTTGGGTTTTTTTTTTTTTTTTTGGTGGGAAGCAGTACCAGGGATTAAACTCAGAGGCACTCGACCACTGAGCCACATCCCCAGCCCTATTTTGTATCTTATTTAGAGACAGGGTCTCACTGAGTTGCTTAGCGCCTCACTTTTGCTGAGGCTGGCTTTGAACTTGCAATCCTCCTGCCTCAGCCTCCTGAGCCACTGCGATTACAGGCATATGCCACCACTCCCAGCTGGAAAAAAGTATTTTAAAAAATAAGCAGAACCTCAAATGTATGAGATAACATCAAGTTAGAATATAAACGTGATTGAAGTACCCAAAAAAGAGGAAGAAATATGGCAGAAAAAATATTTTAGGAAGTAATGACCAAGCGAGGCTCAGTGGCAATACCTATAATCCCAGCTACTCAGACAGCTAAAGCAAGAGGATCCCAAGTGTGTGGCTAGTCTTTGCAATTTATTTATTTATTTATTTTATTTTAAGTATTTATTTTTTAATTATAGGTGGACACAATATCTTTATTTTATGTGGTGCTGAGGATCAAACCCAGAGCCCCACGTGTGCTAGGCGACCGCTCTACCTCTGAGCCACAACCCCAGCCCTAGTCTTTGCAATTTAGTAAGACTGTCTCAAAACTTAAAAATAAATAAAGCAGGCTGAGGATATAGCTCAGTGGAAGAGTGCCTCTGTGTTCAATCTCTAATATGGAGAAAAAAGAAAAAGTCACAGCTAAATTTTTCCCATTTTGGTAAAAAGCAACTGAAAAGATCTCAAAAGCTCACTGAATTTATATAGCAAGATTTATAAAACCAAAACAGAAAAAAAAAAAAACCCTAGGCATATCATGATTAAACTGCTGAAAATGTCAGCCTTGTAGTCTGTATTATCCAGGAAAATGTCCTTCAAGAATAAAGATGAAGGACATTCCTGAAAATGAAAGCTGAGAGAACTCACCACCATCAGACCTGCACTCAAAGTTTTCTGAAGGTATCTTTCCAGTTTTTAAGATGTTACTGCTCTGGGCCTTGTGGTGTATGCCTGTAATCTGAGCAGCTAGGAAGGCTGAGGCAGAAGGATTGCAAGATCAAAGCCAGCCTCAGCAAGTTAGTAAGGCCCTAAGCAACTTAGAGAGAACCTATTTAAAAAAAAAAAAAAAAAATTGAAATGACTAAGGATGTAACTCCATGGTTACCCTGGGTTTAATACCTGGTACAAAAAAAAAAAAAGATGTTACTGCTACTGAAAATAGCATTACTGTGATCAAGGCACTCTATATCAACTGACTCTGCCATAATCCTAGTTAGAATAATGTAAACATTGTTTTCCACCTCTAGAGATAACCTATAAACAAACTGAGGAAGACCTATTCAGAATAAAAACCTTAGCAATCTTACAATGTAAATATTCAGTTGATTGTAATGAAAACGAAAAAGTAAGGCTATTAATTCTATCTTACAGTGGCTCTAGAAACAGGTACAAGTGCTCCTTCACTTAACAATGGGGTCACATCTGGATAAATGCAGTAGAAAATATGTATGTCAAAAATGCATTTAGTACACCTAACCTACTGAACCTCATAGCTTAGCAACACAGTATGCTGTGGAGCACCAATTGTTTACCCTCATGACCACATGGTTGACTGGGAACTACAGTTCTTTGCTACTGCCCGGCATCTATCACTAACCAGGGAAAAGATCAAAATTCAACATCTGATTTCTACTCAATGCCTGTCACTTTTGCACCATCCTAAAGTCAAAATAATCCATCTTAACTCAGGGACCCACTTTATAAGTTTAGTATTTGAGTCTATAAACATAACCAACAGGGAAAAAAAAAAAAAAAAAGAATAGTACAAAACTTCAGTTTTAAAATGGTAAACACAGACCTTTCCTTTTCTCTTTTGGAAAGTATTTAAAAACGGCCAGAAGAACGGTAAACTAATTGAGATTCCCCAGTGGGTGAGGAAGGGTTACCAAATTCAGTGGAAGTGATGGCAGAGAGAGGATACCTATGGATGATCCTGCTTCTATATATGCAGATTGTCAGCAAAGCTAGCAGGTACCATGCTTATTACCAAGAACAACAGGAACAGTAGATATCCTGGCAGTGAGCTCCTCTAGATTCATGGATGAAACAGAAAAGAAGCATATGGTCATGTCATCTAAACACTGGAAGGCAGGATAGAAAGGAGATTCTGGTTAGGCTGTAGATTTCCTCTTTTAACCATGTCGTCACTGTCAAAATTATGCTGATTCAATATGGAGGAAATACATTAAATTAGGAACAACCATTTAATTAGTTGGGAAGAAAGGAAGTCTAAAAGACCTTCCCCTAACAGAATTCACCCTCAATTGTATTAAACTACGCTGTGAGCCAGGAAGAATTTCTGCTGTCTTCTAGTAGTGGCCTTGCTCCTCCCTTACACAAATCTGCAAATATATCTTCAAATCAGACAGAGGCAGGGGGTAGCACCATTGTTATGTAGAACCCTAGGAACAGTGTGTGTGCTGGCAGTGAGAGCTTACCTAGGGAATTCAGTAGAGAGTGATTAATAATTAAGAAGGACCAGCTATGAATCTTTTAAAAGGATACCATAAGGAAATGAGAAAGGCACAAGGAAAAACAAATGTCAGACAGACCATTCACTGGGAAAATGTTGCCACGGAACTAATAAAAATTGTGACATTTGAAACTCTAAACTTTTTAAACAATAGACTAAAGCAGAGAATTTTAAAGTTCAGGGAAAGATAGGATAAGATAATATAAGAAGATGAAATGGTACTTGTCAGAGCTCAGGCAGGAAACTGAAGGGAAAATAAAGCTATTGGGAATTATGGGTGGCATTGGTAATATCACAAAGGACAGTAAAACTCTATGTGCATGTTAAGGATTGAGAAAAATAAGGAAAAGGGAATGGAAAGCAACAAAGAATTTTATAATTTTAGAAACAATATGGAAGTGGAAGAAAAATGAAGTATGGGGAGTCCATTTGTAGAACAAATGGAACCCAAAAAGAATGTTATAGCTTTATTTTCAGAATGCTTTCCATTAAAAAAAATGATAAAGAAATAAAACACAAATGTAAAGATTAAAGAAAGTGCCTAGTCTCAGGAAAATGTGGGACACTATGAATGACATGGAGTATGCCTTGTATAATATACTGAACTTCAAAGATACATAATTCTTTGGGCCTCCAGACAAAATCAGCCAGGCCTCCTGGAGGGCCAGAGAGGAGGATCTCTGTAAACTGAAACTCTCTACACCAGCATCTGATTTTAGAGGAGAGTGTAGCAATAGCTGGAAGTCCTTAGAGAAAGATGACAAAAACATGCCAAGAAAATGGAAATCTAAAGAAAACAGGTTGGATTCAGAGTTGATAAAAGTAATAAGGCAGAAAACAGCACTTTACAATGTTATGGGTAAAATCCTCAGTAGCTGTCAAACTTCTGAAAGAAAGGACACTCAGCTTTTCTCATAACAAGAGAAATGAAAATTAGAACTGCAGTGAAATTTTATTAATGTATTAGATTGGCAGCAACTAAAACTTCATAAAATACTTGTCACGCCTTAAGAGTAGGAGTACAATTTGTAAAATCTCTGTGGTGGTTATTTCAAATGTTTCCATCCAAATGCAAATTCATATACCCTTTGGCCCAGAAATTCTACTTTTACTATTGTTTTTCTGTGGATTTTTTTCTTGAACATTTTGACTCATGTTCATGGATTTTCAGCGAAGCATTGTTTGTAATAGCAAAAGATTACAAATATTCACCAGTGGGAGCTGCTTGAATAAATTGTAGCATATTTACATCAAGAAAAGAATGATAGAGCACAAGCAAAGAACAGAACAATTTGCACAGAACAGTATCATGTATATAAAAGGAAGAAATAGACGCTTATAAATACCTGAGATAGCTTTTGAAAGATACATAATAAAATCTCAGCATTGCCTCTGCAGAGGAGAACTGAGAGAGCTGAGTGGCTGGTGGAGGTAGGTGGAGACTGACTGAAGGAAAAACATCAACTTAATTACTTACAGTGTCCTCTCACCCCAAACACTTTATTGCATATTCCCCATAAACAAGAACATTTTCCAAAGCTACAATGTAACATTCCCTCAATGTCATGATGTTAACGTTGATATATTATTAACCCCATCTAAGCCTCATATCTAATCCATGTTTCATTAATTGTCCTAATAAGGCCCTTTTTATAATGAAGAAGTAAATCCACGCCAGAATTATGTCAAATTTTTTAGGCTAGTTTATTCATTGCATTTAGTTATCATGTTTTCTTCAAACTGGAATGGCTCCTCAGATTTTTTTTTTTATTTTCATGATCTTGATATATATGTGTGTGTGTGTGTGTGTGTGTGTGTGTGTGTGTATCCATTATTTTGAAGAAAGTCCCTCAATTAAGTCTGATATTTCTCTATGATTAAATTTGGGCTGTTTACTTTGTAAGAAAACCACAAAAATAGTGCCTTTATTGCAACAGATGACACATAATTTCAATTGTTCTTTTCATTGTTGGTGTTAACTTCAATCACCTAAAGTGGTGCTCTTCTACCTTGTCTACTATAAAGTTATATTTTTTCCATTAAAAAAAATCTTAAGTATTTTGTGGCAAGGTACTTTGAAGATCTGAAAATATTCCATATCTCATCCAATAATTTATTCAGTTTACCTGTTCCTTAATATTAGTAATAACCCACAGCTTCCAGTTTGATTCAATGGGCTATAATGGCTGTAATTTATTATCATTATTGTTACTACTGCTACTACTACTATCCTTGGATATTTTAAATAGTCATATTTTCCCAGACTTGGCCACTAGGAGCTCCTTTAAGCTGCCTTCTGTTTCCTTTGATGCATCTCCATCATTTTGGAGTATCTTCTTACTTTATGGCCTAAGAAGATGTACTAGTTCATCTAATCATTATCTACCACAATCTGGAGTCAACTATTTCCAAGGAGGCCTGGTTCTTTTAAGTGCAGAGTAGTGTTTAAAACCCAAGATCTGGACATTAAGAATGTCACTACTGTTGGGGTATTGCTAATTCCAGACCCTTCCTCCCAGTGGACAGAGGTAGGGAATATGTGAGTTTATACACATAAATACATACACATTTATACATAATACCCAAAGGGAATTGGTTCCAGAACCCCTACAGATACCAAAATTCACAGATGTTCAAGTCTCATATAAATAGCATAGTATTTGCACATAACAAATATATATCTTCCTGTATACTTTAAAATCACCCCTAGATTATTTGCAATCTAATATAATACAAGTGCTATGAAAATAGTTCTTATACTATATTGCTTAGAGCATAATGACAAGAAAAATCTATACATGTTTAGTATAAAAGTAATTTCTTTAAATTTTTTTCAATCAGCAATTGGTTGAGATGCAGAACCAGTGGATACGAAGGGCCAATTGCATAAATACCTACATCTAACATGTTAAAAGCCACAACAGAGTTTATTCTAGTTTTCTCCCTTCTCATATTTGAACTCCCTCCCTCAATAGTGATTCTCGTTACTTAATTACTTAATTAAGCAATACCTCTGCATGTAATCATTCTTCTGTTGTTGTAACTACTTTCACCCAATCCCCAAATCTCTGAGTGGATGCCCTTTACCCCACTTAGGCTTCTTCTACCAAGCTGCTGTCACCTCCCCCATGTGGTCATTGTTCTCACCCTATCTTTGCATCCACACCCCATGTTGACCTGCTTTGTCACCCTACTGGAAGAAGTGCCCTCCACTAGGTCTCCAACACTCCGCGCCACACTCCCTCTGTCATTCACTACATAGGAACCTCCCTGTCCCTTTCTGGGCTGTGACAGGCATGCTGTGTGCCTGCCTTAACCACATCCAGGGCACAGAACCCTGCATGGAGCCCACTACCTCCCAGATGCATTACTTGCACTACCCTATTTCAGGACATTGCCACCATTGCTCCTGCCCACCTTTTGCCATCCAAATTGGTCACCCTGCTCATTCCTCTCTGGCTGCAGCATCCTGCACTAGGCTGCGCAGGTCCCTGGCCTCCACACATGGACTTCCCCTGCACCCAGCCCCACCTATTAGCTTTCATACTGAATCATTCTAGAAGAGAGGGAAGAGAAAGAAGAAGCATAGAAGAGGAAACCCCAAAACTGATTTTTTGCTGCTTACTCTTTAGTTTAATTTTATGTCATAGCACATATAACCAATTCAAGAACTAAGTGGATTATTTTTTGATGATCATAGCTGAAATTTTGATAGGAAAAGGCAAAGTCTTGTTTAAAATAAACTAAAATTTTTTTGACAATAAGCAATTAAAATAATTTATTTCAAATCTATAGCTCATATTCTATAAGCAAATTGTATGGTAAATCCATTAAACTACATAAGCTAAAATATTTTAACTGAGAAGTCTTTATGTATTATATACTATAAAATGGTTATACTGAACAAGTAAAGCACTCTTATAAAATTTTTTAAAAATAGAAAAAAGTCAAATAAGCTACTCAAACAAAGAAATTCAAATGCCTATTTTACAAGAAAAGGATCAGTTGCACTAATTGCAGTTTTAAGCATCAGTGGCACATTCATTATTTATCTGATCATCAGGTAATAGACACTTGAATTGTTTCCACTTTTTAGCAATCATGAATAATGCTACTATAAACATTTGGACACAAATTTCTGTGTGGGCAAATGCTTTCATGAACTAAAATTTTTGGTCAAGGTGAATTATAATGAAAAATATGTTAGGTTCACAAAGAAATAGAATCATAAGCATATTATTTAGATTTTGTTGGCAAGCATTAGAACTAAACCCAGATATTGCTATAAAAGGTTGGTTTTTTTGGGGGAGGAGTGATTAATAAGGACAAATGGCGAGGGGAGAAAAGACTGCTATTAATTTTCAGTGTAAGCTCTTCTCTATGATTTAATTCTGTAATTATAATTAATTTAACTACTTTCCTTTTTGAGGGTTCTGCATTTACATTTTAACTTTGAAGATTTTTCTTCACCTAAGATCAGTTATTCATTGAAATCTTCATTTTGTGTTATTATGGCTTATATCTTTTCTATTTAAATCTTATTCATCTTGAATTTATGTTGGTATGTAATGATTGTAATCATTTCATTAATTTACAGAAAGACAGCACCCTGGATGCTGCTGAGGAAATCATCAAGGCATGGAGTAAACCGAAGTCTTGATGTATGCAAACCACGCTGAGGGTTCCACTACATGGCCTAGTATGGACTTGTACTCAGTGCTGCCCCCTGCTGTGTATTAAAAAACAAATATTTCAGCACCAATGAATTTAAATAAATATTTCCATTGTTTTCCAAAGTTAACCTCATTGCTAACAATATACAGGAGATCTAACTTTTTTTTTAGTTGAAATGTCTTAAAACACCTCTTATCATTTTATGACAGTCAACCCAACATAGTAGATGAGAACTGGGAGATCTTAACCTGCAAAACCTCTGTTTCATTTTCCTCATTATAAAAGGGGAGTAGAAATAGCATCAGCTTCATATGAAGGCCGTCTGATGGCCTAATCTATGTAAAACCTGGTAAACAATTACTCATAATAATAGCCGATTTCATTTCTCCGTTGTGGGAAAGCTTCTAGCCAGTTACACCCCTCTGTCCCATATCTTTACGCACCTGTCATTCTCTACCCTTCATTTACCAATGCCCTTGAACCTTGTTCATGGTTTGTTCTCTCTATTCCAAGTACTGCATCATTTGGGGTGGCTTCAAGGTCTACATGGACAAGCTAGGTTTTCTGTACTTTGACCTCTTCACCTCTGATGATATTCACCTCCACTCCACTTCAGCCACCCACTCCTTTAGGCACACATTGAGGCTTTCACCATTCAGACAGAGATATTTCAACTCTGAGATAATAGATTCATCATCTCACTATAACCACCTATCCTTCCAGCTCATGCTTATTGTCTCAGTCTCTCTCTCTCTCTCTCTCTCTCTCTCTC